GAAATAACTAAAACTATGGCCCCTAACTACTTATAGCCACGAAAATTCCATATTAAATGTAGCTAATTCGTGACATATAGTTACACTGAATTGTTAAACTATGATCATAGGTTACCTTTTGGTCACAAGAAATTACCATGCCCATGACAATAAACTAGTCAAAGTCACACAAATTTTATAGTAAGCGTGGCCACTTCCTTATATATGGTTACGTTGAATTTTAATAATTGTGCTATTGATTCCTTTCGGTCACATTAATTAATAACTAAAAGTGTTGCCGTAAACTACTTATTATGACACAAATCTTATATTAGTCATGACAAATTCATGACATGGTTATGATTAATTTTAAAACCGTGACTATTGGTTACCTTTTAGTTACAGAAAATAACTAAAAATGTGGCCTTAAACTATTTATAGACACAAATTTTATATTAAATGTTTCTAATACATGATATATATACTACATTAATAAGCACTTAAACCAAAGTCTTAAGTACAAGTCTTTAAGGACAAGGTACAACCATTTTATGCAAGAATTTCAAAAATCTCTTAATTACAACTCATAAAGCATGATGTACAGTTTTTAATACAACACCATTAATATCACCCAAACTGAAGGTCTTAGTTTTGCTTTATTCCTTCCATCTCTATTTCCTCCTTTTTTTAGCTTTAGACCTGGTAAAGCATCTTCCCAAAAATGTTTCATGGTCTCAGCTTTTGGAGGTTTTCTCGGACTTCAACTAAATTTAAATTCAAATTTTTGTAATGAGTTCTGAGTATATGGGTTTAGAAACCCAATACGTGTGCAATTATTTTTCCATTCGATCTTGTTAATACACCGTATTAACCTTCAACTTTATATATTAGTTGACTTACAAAATAACCACACAAACTTATAATTCAAGGATAAACTAATGTTTCAGAATTGTGATTCACCCGCGTTGCATCGCGCGTGTATACCACTAGTGTGTGTGTATATATATATATATATATTGAGAAACAATAAACAATTATATTAATAATTAATCATATGAAGAATGTATAACAACATGAATGACAAACTTATCAACTACTAGTTCTCTAATATATTAGAATTTTGCTTCGGTTTCAATATCTCGTTATATTGTTATGTGTACCCAGCCATGAACAACACCCTAATTAGGTTAAATGTGACTATGTGTGGTGGTCTACAACAACATCCAATCAACTATGGCTTGGGACCGTACATCAACCAACAATTGCACCAGAAGCGATAAATTGGGAGCCATACGGGTTGTGGTCGGCGCTGCTCTATAGCAGCAACAAAGCAACAACTCTGGGGCTACGGTGTCCGAGTTAAATTTCAGTTCAACGGCATAAAACGACGGTTGTGGCCTAATGTTGGAGTCGCAACGACACTCCAACAGTCGTAAAAGGTTGTGCATGCAGCTTATGGGCTACACCAACACATTGGACTATTCCAATAAGATCATGTGGGATTTCTACTAGTGTAAGGCTAGGTTTTCCATATAGTCATAGCCTTATGGCTTTATTAAATCTTGGATATGAACTTTTAGAACTGTAACTTTTTCATCTGTTGACAAAAACGTATTTCGAGCTTTAAATTTAAGCTGAGAAATTTGCCATGAAAGAGTTTTAGGGGCCGTTTATCAAATGCTTACTTGGGTAAGTGCTTACCAAGTAACATTACCTTATCGGATGAATATGGAAAGAACCATGAATCTTACCCGGTAAGAGCGAGTCAAGGACCTAGAGTCTTGCCCGGTAAGTGAGGGCAATGACTCTTACCACGGTCAAATCTTACCGGGTAATTTGTTGCATAGAAAGCCGTTTTTTGTTGACTAAAATCTTACCCGGTAAGTAAATGATAGTGTTGAATGTTACCACTAGATGTTTACCGGGTAAGTGTTTGGTAACCGGCCCCTTAATCATGCTAGTGAAGTCTACACAAAATTGTCAAACAAATAACCCAAGTTCAGAGTTCCCAACTAGAAGGCAGAAGCATTTCAACATAACAAAAGCATTCAATACTTAACATTGTCAACCAACCAATGTGGGTAGTTGGACTTTGCACACACTTCTTTTGATGCTTTGGACACACCCTTGCAATTCAAATAAAAAGGAATTTGATAAAAAAAAATTGCCAAGATTAGAGTATTAATACCCTATAACTTTCGAGAGCTTTCGAGAGGCTGCAATCTCTCCCTATTCAGTTGATTCGGCAATATGGTTGATGAGGCGTACTGTCCGATTGCTCTCTTCAATTGAGAGACATGAAACACTGGACGGAGTCATGTACATGCCGGCAATTCCAAGCGATAAGCCATCTTTCCCACCTTGCCTACCACTTTAAATGGACCATAAAAGCGTACAGACAGCTTTTTTGGTTGTTGCTTTTCCTTAAAGATTTCTATTGGTAAGGCCTAAGCTTCAAGAAAACCATATCTCCAACGTCAAAATAATACCTCCTTCATATGCCCATCAGCTTGTTGTTTCATTTTATGTTGCGGTTGCATTAATAATATTTGTAGAAAATCAATCGCATCATCTCTGTCTTTCAACATTTGCTCCACAGCTGGAATAACTGTTGAGACTTCTTCAAATTGCAATATTATTGAAGCATCTCTCCCATATAACGCTTTAAACGGTGAACAACGAATGAATCTGTAATACGTGGTATTGTACCAATATTCAGCCCATGCCAGCTACCTCTTCCACAATCATGGCTTGTCTGACTAAAACACCTTAAGTACTACTCAATGCTACAATTGACAACTTCCATCTGTCCGTCGGATTTTGGATGATATGTAGTGTAAACTTTAACTTCGTACCTTATAATCGGAAAATCCCCTTCCAAAGACTACTGAGAAAAACCTTATCCCTATCCCATATAAAAATTTCAGTTACCATTGCTGCTGATTTCAAACTCATACCCCAAAAGTGTGGTTAACCACTTCTGGTATTGTGGTTCCACCAACCTTTGTTCCAATAAAAACTTCAAGCTTTGTTGGTCTGTCTTTACAACGAACTTCCTTCGAATCAAGTACGGCCACCACTTTGTTACTGCAAATATGATGGCCATGAGTTCCTTCTCATATATGTGTTTATGTCGAGCAAACTGACCCAAAACTTGGCTATGGTATGCAATCGGTTGTCCCCCTTGCATTAGTACCGCCCCAACACCTTGCCTCGATTCATCTGTTTCAATTTCAAATGGCCGACTAAAATCTAGTAGCTTCAAAGCTGGGGTTGTGGTCATTGGTCAATGCCTTCTTTAATTCTACGAAGGCCACATCAGGTGTCTTTTGCCACTTGAATCCTTGTTTCTTCAACAAATCTGTTAAAAGGCCTTGCAATCCGTTCGCATTCCTTGATGAATTTTCTGTAGTAACCAATTAAACCCAAAAATCCCCTTAGTTGTGTTACCATTTTTGGTGTTGGCCATTTGAGCATTGCTTCAACTTTTGTCATATCCATGGACACCCCTCTTTTTGAGGCCACATGCCCCAAATATACTAGTTCTTTTTTTTGCCAAACTCACACTTTTTCCTATTCACATACAAGTAGTTTTCCAACAGCACCTTAAAGACCTCCCTTAAGTGCTTAACATTATCATTTTCGTCCTTACTGTACACCAGAATATCATCAAAGGGTACAGGACGAATTTTCTCAAAGATCGAAATATATCGTTCATCAACCAAAATATATTTTGCCCCTAAATGTTGTTTAATGTTATTTTGCATCATATAATGATTGGAAATGACACAAATCAACCAAAATATATTTAAATAATTACATCCATAATATTTAAACTATTTTCTAAATTTGTATACATGATTGTAACACAACAATCGTAAAAACATAATTTAAAAATATTTCAACACAACAATTGTAAATCGTACATAATGTAAAAAAATTCCAACACGAAATTGTAATGAAATTAACATGTGATGAGTTCACACTTACACATTGAAAATAAGGGTTAGATCCGGTGAGAAAGGAAGTTATGATGAGAAGGGTAAGAGGGGATTAATCAATCCTAATTGAAGATCAACACTAATAAGATGCACCGGATCAATTCTTGTATCAAGCGCAATTCATAGAGTAGGAGTGAGATTAAAAGTGATACAGATCCCTTTTTACACTTCTCACCTTAACTCATATTCTCACACGATGTTTCATCTTGGCATATATAGAATTTTGTACTCTGAGTCCCCAAAGACTGTCCACTTCAAAATCTAGAAGGGATCTAAAGACAGTTTTGTACTTTGTTAAACTCAAAAGCAACGAATTGACTGCTTATTCTATTTCTATTTAAAGTAATGGTGATATGTGGGTAAAGACTTATGTGGGACAGAAAGTTGTGCAGTAAATTTCTTATAGATGGAATGAATTATGTTTTGAAGTTGACAAACACAAGGTTTGATGATTTGACCTCCTAAAATAGGAAGAGGGCCCTTATAATTTTACATAGGGAATTGGGTCCAGCTTTAGAAAATCTGAATGCAAATGCTTATCCGGTAAGTGCTTACCGATAGGAGTCAACACTATAATTTATTTTGATACGTAAGATTTTAGTACATCAAAACGTATTGAATGCAACAATTTACCAGGTAAGCGTTTACCTGGGTAAGAGTCGTCATCTTCACGTACCGGGTAAGACTCCATCCTTCTCATCACTCGTATCCAGTAAGTTTCTTGGCCCTTGTAATGTTCATCCTATGAGGAAATTTATCCAGTAAACACTTACAAGTAAGCGTTTAGTAAACAGCCTCTTACTTTAGGTTTTCGATCACTTTATTTTGTAGGATCTGCTGGAGTTATGCCCTGAGAAAGTGGAGAATTATGAGCAGATTGAATTCTATGATACTCTCTAAACAAAACCCATGAAATTAATGATTAGAAAAGCAAACATACTCTGAAATCGACACCAACCATATTAAAATAGAGCAGAACAAAATTTTCAACTAGTCTGCGTACCAAACGCACCCGCAGATACCTATTTAGTCTCGGTTCTGATCTTTTTACTCAACGACTAAAGCCGAATCAAAAATCAATAGGCAACATATATACATTCCTAGTCATCAGAGAATAATATACAAATAAGAATGTAACTGTCAGTTAACTCTCGTCATCCAAGTCAAAAGACTGTCTTCTCCTGAGAGATTCGAGCACAGCGGCTGACCTCCCCTTTTGCCTCGTCACAACCACAGTCCCAGTTGATGACTTGAGCTTAGGCACGTTCATGGCACTAAGTGACGGTGTCCCCGCACCCTGGTTCACATCCCTCAGCACAGACCTAGCAGTCACTTCAGCCAATGCACCAGCCACAGCTGAAGTCACTTTTGAACCCATGTGTAACCCCTTACCAACAGCCTCAGCAGCCGTGGATTTTGCCTTCAATGACTCGTATTTTTGTATGTCATAAATAAGCTCTTTCTGGAGTTGTTTATCAGCAACAAGCATCTCATCAATCTCGTTTTTGTAATCTTTAAGAAGGATTCTAAGGCATTCCATAAGAGATCCTGAAAGTGGGCTGTTTTTGCTCTCAAGTAGACGTTTTAGTTCTATGAAGATTGGGATTGTGTTTTGGATTAATCCCTTCTTGACCACTTGAGTTATAACTCGTCCTCTAACAGCTGCATTTTCTGCAACTTCTTCCATTTCTGATGATTCCAGAGATGACCCTTTGTTAACTGGAATTCTGATTTCTTTGCAAGAAAGGATCTGAAATGCATCCTGTTATTTGGAAGAAAATAGGATTGTAATGTTCAAGCATCGACTCAAATGGCAGCCAAGGTTGTTATAAAAGTCATCACAAATACTATTTGATTACCTGTAGAACAGACTGGCTGGTAACATCCTCAATGTTGAGCATCCCATCAGATGCAGAGGCTAGAATCTCCGCACATACCTTGGCAAATGTAGCCAAAAGATGCTCCGGAGCCATTTGTTTCAGTAGGGAAACATATATGTGCATCCTTTGACACCTCGACTTCTCATCATTACCTCTAAAGGATTAAGAAAAAATTATATTTCACAGAAATAAAAGGATATGGAGATGAAAAGCGACTTGGGCGATCTGGAAATTGTTACCGGATGGAAAACAGATGGCTTTCTTTCTGGGAGTTGGTCTGTCCAGTATGGGCGTCACAGTCGTTCAGCACAAAGATGGCTTTAACAAAGCTGTTATAAGCTAAAAGTGGTGCCTTGACTGTGATAAAGAGGCATACACAAGTCAAAAGACCTGAACTGGAGCATAAGCATTTGTAAAGGTAACATAATCGATGATCTTGAAATAACTCACCTTTTAATATATTCCCGAAAAGATAATCAGCCAGCTGTCTTATTTTCTCTGATTCATCAACAAGAGATAATAAAAATCGAAGAAAAAGCACACCCCTCCACTTCACATAGTCCCGCTAAACATAGAAACAAGTTATATGTTTCAATTGCCATGTTATTGCCCTTAAGCGATATGATCTTAAACAAAAATGTCAATTTAAGTCTACCTGTAATAACCTCGAGAGAAGCGTGAATGTCTGTCTTCTAACCAGTTCACAGGGATCACGAAGACATTTGGTGATGTTTGATATATAACTGTTGACTTGAAAGAACAGATGTGAGTGAAATATATGTATATGATGCACTTGTGAGTAAATGTAATGTGTACGAGCCTCACCAATCAACCAATGCTGTATATCGTACGCAAAAATCAGCCATCATTACAACAATGTTGTTACGAAGTGCTGCACTGTTGCTCTTTTCCATCTCCTGCAGCAAGAATGTTCAAAATACAATATTAATGAGTAAAAAATCAAAAAAGACAAACAAGAGACTTTGCAAGTACGATGATCTTTTGCATTTGCACTTCATGATTCGTCAATGATTACTCGTTCCTGCCATCTTGAGAATGATGATCGGTTTAGATAGAAAAATCCAAACATGATGGTTCTAAAAGTCAGTCGCCCTAAAGATATATCAACTTGAAGTGAAATGTTGTTCTTATATTTGAAAACTAACTTCCAAGATTTTGGTGAGAGAGTGATGAAACAAGGCAAACCTGCACAAACAATGGCATATAGCGCTTTGCAAGTTTGCCATCAGCAAGACAAATTTTGCCCATTGTTAACCAAGCTTGAATGTATAACGAAGGAGCTGTCTGCTTAACGGACATTGACATGCCTGACAACTTTTTAAGTTTCGGGTCAGAAACTCCTGATGTGATGATGTTATGTAAAGTCGGAATGATGGCTTTCAAATCAGCCGAAGGGCAAACAATAACAAGTGATCCAATGGTGTAAACAGCAGAGATAGCTTGAGCTAATAATCTTGACATGGTTGTTGACGATCTATCACCCTTTCGAGTTCCACTTGGAGGTGTGAGTAAGCTACTACCTTTGTTTATTTTCGAGTCTTTTGCCATGTACATTTCAAGAGCATCGGAAGCTTTTGAAAGTAGCTGGTGAACCCACTTGATCACAAGGGTATCAGCCTCCTCGGGGCTTTTAGCCTTCCGTTTGCACAATGTTTTGAGTGCTTTCACATGAGCGTTAACCTGCCATCACAAAACATGATTTGTTAATATATATCCAGTTCAAACATAGAAGCTGGTTCTCTTCTTAGGGTGGATTGAAAGTCAACATTGTAAATACATTACACATGATGCTCAAACCATCATATTTGGCTTTTCATTGTAAACATACCATTGTTCTTGATAATAGAAAAGGAAAGAAAATAACACTAATGCTTGCAAGAATGAGCATTGTGAACATAAAGCGGCAAGTGCGGTGCTTTATTTGCGTTTAGATTTCCACAGTTTGCCTTGGTAGTCTGCAACAAAAAGTAAAATGCTCTATTAGGAATAAATACCTCCATAGAATGCATGCTGAAGTCCTCGATTCGTTTAAGTAAATTATGAGCTAGATCTGCTGCAGGTTCAGCAGGCAGTTCAACAGATACATTAGAAATTGTTTGTAAGAGGTACACACGATCTCCAGCCCAACCAACAGAATTAGATAGAATCCCCACTGCTTCTTCTTCTTCTTGAAGAAACTGCCATTTTTCAAACGGGCTATTGGATGACTCATGCTTGTCAAGAAGCTGCCAATGGAGATAGAGAAACTCCCAATCCACAGTTTTCAAGAGGAATCCGGAGACTTCAGATAAGAGGAACCAGGCACCAGCCGGTGCTATCCACTTCTCAATCGGTTTGGAATCCCCTAACCACATATACTCTGACTTCCTGATGATATTCTGTAGCGAAACTGCAATAATGGGCCTAAGTTTCTTCTTCTTTCCAAGATTAATGCAGATCTTTTTGACCCAAGGAGCCACTTCGCCATTGCAAATTTCTTTCAATAGACCCAAGACTCCATCAGAAACTAACAAGCTGTGATCCCTTCCCAACGTGCCACTTGAGTCATGAACATTAGATCCAGCTCGTGAAATCCGATCCAACACCAGTTCCAGAAACAAGTTCTCACATTCTTCTTGGATACTTGATTCGTTGTCTGCAATCAAACGTGGGACAGAACGTAACCACTCCTTAGTCACGTTATCATTGTGAACTTTCCTGAAGGTCTGCAAATAACCACAAAACAGCACAATGTTAGATTGAAAGTATATACAAAAGTCATGTTCTTGTTCAAGGGTAACCATAAAATGTATACCCAAGAATCCTTGAAGCATTTGGAAGGCATACAAGAAGTACTATAACAGTAGTAGAAGGAAGACACGAAATAGCCAAGAAAAACAGATAAGCAAGGAGATTCAACCTCAGATAGGGCAGATATTGCAGCCTTCCTTATGCTAACAAGTTGATCAGAACAAGCCATGCCCATTATGTTTAGCAACATGTCATCAAATCCACCACCTTCACCTTGAAGAGCTGTCAGCTTTGATATTAAAACAAGTGCTGCCTTCCTCACAGCTGCCTTCTCATCAACACACCGTTTCCTCAAAACATCATTAATCCCACCATCTTCACCAAATCTGATTACCTCCATCAACCCAGTTTTATTCTCCTCATTCCGAGATAAATACCCCACAAGTTGTGCCATATTAGTAAGCGCCCGTGCTCTAATTCCTGCAGTTGCATCTGAGCATCTTTGTAATAGTGCATGCAGACATCTGAATCCCCAAGAACTTTCATACCCAGTTTCAGAGCAGGCCACTAATGGATCATCGAATGACATTATCAAAGTAGGAATAAGATCAACAGCTAGTAGTCTTAGTTGTGGTTTCCCACAAGTCATTTTCACTACATAATCAGCAAAGTCTATTTGATCTTTATATTCTAAAGCTCTAACTATCTCCAGTATTGATTGGACAGCCAAAGCTCTAGGCTCAGCCCCCTCGGGGGCTTTACCAACCAAATACTTTGAAAGATTAACCATGGCTTTTCGAATCTCATCCAAATCCTTTGCCATTACGGCCATTCTGTTCACTACAAATGCTAGCCCAAAGGTCCTTGCCTGTGATTTTAACAAGATAATCGAAGAGAGAGACTTCAAAATCTCAGCTGCAGTAATGGCCTTCTCTCCATGCTCAGATTTCAACAATTCACTCAAAATATCTGAACACAAGTTGCATAACCTGTTGTAATTCGATGAATTCCCACAAGATTCAAGTGCCAATACGGGAATCTCAGCCATGGTTTGAACTAACGCCTTCAAACTATCAGGAAACCTGTCCAAATGAATCAAACCCAAAACAAGATGTAGTCTTTCAAGCACAGGAAACAAAGCCCTAATATCGAATTTTATTGCTTCTCTGTCAGACTCGCCCGCTTCGACACTGTTACCCTTGTTCTTTGACCTGCCCCTGCTGCCTCCTCCCCTCTTCTTCCTACTGAAATGACCAGACGCTGGACCCGATTGAGAATTCTTGAAAGAGCAACGGACTGTGCGTAGTAGAGAGAGAAAAGCCATCGGAGTGAAGAGGGATAAAACATGGAAGTTTGGGGTAAGGAGGAGAGAGAGGTATACCTTGGAAGCGAGCAGAGAGTGGTGGGGTACCTTGGAGTCCATTGCGGAGGTGAGAGGATGGAGGAGGGAGGAGGAGAGAGAGAGGTTCTTGGAGGAGAGTTGTTCAGAGAGATTTTCGATTTCGATTGGATCGTCCTTGTCAATAGTGTAGTCCAAGAGGGTTTGAAGGGCTAATAGGGTTGATTCGGAAACAGGTCTCTGTGAATGTGGGTCGTCACGATGTGCTTCGAGCTCTGTAACTATCTGGGAGATGGCTTCTTCCATGGCTGCCAGCAGGGGGGCACTCTCTACCTCCGGAAAATGGTCAGTCTTTCACTGAAATGAAGATATGGAAATGAAAAACTTCAAATGTTGGTTTTCCCGCTGTAGCTTGAGATATGCTTCTTCAAATTTTGATTTTCATCTTCTCTTTTCAAAACAAGCAATAACTTCACATAACGTGGAAGTATGTTTACACGAAATCCTTGGAGTAAGATCAAAGTACTTAAAAGAAGTTAGAGCACCCACATAGGGCTTGCAAATTGAATTGCAAAACCATTTTTGTCAGACAATTGCTGTCATGTAGGATTCAAATTGCAAATTTTGCAATTCAACTTGAAAGTCAGGTGTCACCAACTTCCTCTCCAAAACTATTTAAATAAATTATTTTTAATAATGTTAATATATTTTTAATGTTAATAATTTTAATAATGTTAATATATTTTTAATAATTTTAATATTTTTAATAATTTTAATAATGTTAATATATTAATATATTTTTAATAATGTTAATATA